ATAAGAAGATTATAAAAAACCCATATTTCTCATGTGCCGTGGAAATTAATGAACTTTGACTGAGTCCCAGGACCTCAATTTTTTTTCAAAAATTATCCCAATTATTTATATGATGGAATGGTCAAACAAAAGTTTCATTTTTTTTTAAATTATTAGTTTTTTAAATAAAAATATCTCACGCGCCTATCTCTGATAAGAAATAACCAATTTGAATGGGAAAAATTGCAATTTACGGACAATGGAATATTTTATACTTTGATGTAAATATTCATAGCAATAGATCCTCTGAAAGATTTATAATAATTGTTGAAATTTTCCAGAAAATATATTATTACCCTAGCCGCATCCCTTTACCACTTTACCACAGCGTTCCCTCTCGGGTCTGGAAAATCCTTTCCATATGTACACTTTGCTACCTTTTCCAGGGCCAGCGAAGGCAACCATGAGGCCTTGAGAAAAATATTTATAACTTATTGATTTTTCTAAAAATTTATAACTAGTATTAATTCACCACTACTATTTATAAAATTCATAATTTATTTATTTTTCTATTTGACTCGTAAAAAATGTTTTATTTTCGAAAAATACAGTTCCATAGTTGGATGGTCGTCCCACTAACCCCCGAAACTTACTTGACGGCAGGCCACCCATCCCTGAAAGAGGTAGGAGATTTTACATGTGGCACCAATTCCGAGGGCCCGAAAGATAACCTTCTACTAGAATCATATAATGACGTGCGGTCAGTGAAAAGACGGAAATTTCAAGAATTTTTGTAAAATATTTGGAATATTTCTCGTAGTAAATCATAACCGAAATGTATTCAGTTTTTAATTGTCTATTCGAAGATATTTTTGCTTTCGAATGGAAGCATTGTAATCGTGCTGTTTTCACATTCTCTAATTTTGATTGGAACTGATGTAGAATGGTCTGAAACGTAAAAATATGAAGTTTGGCGACCATGTCTGTCGGTGTCAATGTCCATCGCCACCGTTCCGGTGGTCAATTTTTGTAAAACTGAGTAATTAATTGGCTAAACTTATTCCAAAAAATCTGAAATTTTGTCAGATTATAGACCTTAACAAGGACTAATTCTGTGCAAAAGTTCAGCCCGATTGATCAAATAGTTTTTGAGAAAAAGCTATTCGTTTTTAAATCGTTTTTCGCTAATATCTTCGAAGCTAGTCAACCGATTTCAATTTTTTTTTTTAAAAATGTTCGTTTTGATGCCTTCTATCCGAATCAATCAAAACATATATACCCGTTCATACAAAGTTTTCTAGATATTTCCGTTTTTCTGTTTTTTCATAAAAATTCTTGTAATCACTCTAGCTTGTACAAAAATTGAGATATCAACTTGGAATTTGGACAGAATCTTCCTCTCATGGTAATAATCCTTCCTATTGAAAATGGGCCCAATCGCGTGAGTAGATTCCAAGATATTTGACTTTCTCTGAAAACCTTTTATGTGCAATACCTTAAAAACTACGCAACCGATTTCAATTTTTTTTTTCAAAATGTTCGTTTTGATGCCTTCTATCCGAATCAATCAAAACATATATACCCGTTCATACAAAGTTTTCTAGATATTTCCGTTTTTCTGTTTTTTCATAAAAATTCTTGTAATCACTCTAGCTTGTACAAAAATTGAGATATCAACTTGGAATTTGGACAGAATCTTCCTCTCATGGTAATAATCCTTCCTATTGAAAATGAGCCCAATCGCGTGAGTAGATTCCGAGATATTTGACTTTCTCTGAAAACCTTTTATGTGCAATACCTTAAAAACTACGCAACCGATTTCAATTTTTTTTTCAAAATATTTGCTTCGATGCCTTCTATCAGAATCAATCAAAACATATACGGCCGTTCATACAAAGTTTTCGAGATATTTCCGTTTTTCTGTTTTTTCATAAAAATCCTTGTAATCACTCTAGCTTATGCAAAAATTGAGTTATCAACTTGTTTTCATTCCAATTGGTTATGCGTCATTAGAAATAGTCGCATGAGATATTTTTATTTTAAAAAAACAATAATTGTTCAAAAAATCAAACTTTTGTTTAACCATTCCATTCTTGAACAAGTGGGCCATCATGTAAAAAATTGGGATAATTTTTGAAAAAAAATTGAGGTCCTGGGACTCAGTCAAATTCATTAATTTTCACGGCACATGAAAAACAGAAGTTTTCTCATCTTCTTATCATAATAGCGCAGAAACTATCGGATGAAAAAAACAAACTCCGGATTGAACTAGAGTAATATTTAATCTAACGAATGAAATTGCCTCCACAGTCGTGCAATTTTTTTTTCGCTAAGATACAAGCCTCCAAAATTTGCGGACTACACTTTAGAAAAGGATAGTTGGGTTAAATTTGTCCTGGACAAAATGATTAAGTTCGACAATTCATGGAAAATCATCACAAAACTATTCAATTTCATATTGAATGTGAATTATTCTGTTTAATTATTACACGGGAATAGAGGAACCGCTGTATGCGTCGTTGTAGGAATAAATAGATCTGAAAACGTATATCTCTTCCATTTATCGTTTTCTGACAATTTTTACATATTTTACCTTTTCGTAAATTAATCCTTCGACGCTAGACTCTTACTCAGTATATTACAAAGGTACATTGAAAGCATTAAAAATTATCGAAATTGAATTCCTATGACGGATGCGAATGGCGATTTTCCCCACATGCAGAATAAAACTATCCATTCTCAAATATTCAACATTGTATCCCACCCACGTAATCAATTTGAGTCATATATGGTAATGAATATTGTAATTTATAGGTGAAAATAAGTCTGTTCTACTAGATTTTTCATATGCATGACTGCATGGAAAAAAGGAAATTCTGATTAACGTCGTGGCTACGTATGAGTTATATAGTACACATACAAATCTCAGTAGGGTGAAATAAAAGCGGATGTTATACATTAAATTACGCCTACGCAATATTCTGAATGAGAAAGGCCAGTCGGGGTGCTGAATCTCGTGGGTTGGCAATATGAGAATTTCTTCAATATTAAGAAGAAGCGAAAATAAAAGATCTCTAACTCATTGTTAGATAAAGGCAACGGAATTCGAATTGTTTTCTATGATACCTTTTTAATACAGTCAGACACAGCCGGATAGAAACAATTTAACTTCCGTGTTACGTTTTCACGTACGGAAGGATATTCCCGTGACACTTTTTGTGAAACATTGTAAGGAGTAAGACAAATATCAAGACATGTCATTTGAGTGAGAAAGAGATTTGAAAGTAGTTACTTCAATTTCATTAGACAGGGAAGCGAAAAGATGTTAGATTTCCGCGTTCTCTTATATTCTGATGGATGGCTATTTTCATTATCGTTCAAAATCAGTCCCCAAGTAAGCGAAATAAGATAAGAAAAAGTCTCGTCATAAATTGTAATTATCGTGAAGGATATTTACAGAGATAACTCGTAGAATTTCCTCAGCAGATAATTCTTTACCATTTTCTTGGAATTTAGAAAAAAATTAATAAACTCAAGGATTTTTTATTATTGGAGTACCTTGCGGAAAAATTCTCTAAAATCAACGCTTATTTATTTTTATTTTTATAGATGTTTCAAGTGAGTTGAGAAATATTTTTCTGACATCTCAATTTGTTTTACGAACGGAACCTATTTGATACAAGACATTTGACTGTTATTTTATACGTTATTAGTCTTTTTCATTTTTTTATTCCTACCAATTTCTCGTAGCAATGTTTTTTTTTAAATAAAAATGACAATTTTACATGAAAATATAATAGCTATTCATCAAAGATTTACACCTCTTAAAATAGACCACACCCCCTGTCCTTGTTACAACTATGACATAGTTTATCAAATATTGACATAATATTAAATAGAAAAGACCATAATTTTATTTTATACGACTTGTTAAGTCGTCCAGATTCGAAAATCATCCTAAAAATGGCCATGTGTAATTTTTTAGAAAAAAATATTTTTCGATGAATTGCTCTATATGCCAGGATGTACGAAATCGATTGACACAAAATTTTATACACAAGTGGGACTCAATAATACTAATTAGTAGGCAAAATCTCAGATGTTTATTCCAAGTTTTACACGTATTATTAAACGCCACATTAAACTCTAAAGAAAGAATTGGAAAAAACGTCAATATCTGGAAAATTTTTGTATGAGCGGGTATTCATATTTGGATTGATCTCGATAGAAAATATCATGACAACTATTTTAAAGAATAAAAAAAAAATCGGGCCAGTAGTTCAGAAGATATTGAGCGAAATAGTTTTTCACAAAAAATGGAATATCTTCTAAGCTACCAATTCGATTCGGCTCATCCACGATCTCATCCAGTCATATCATAAGAGCTACAATCCTACCAAACTTCAACTTCCTATTTCAATTTTTTTGCATGTTATCGGGGACGATATGACAGTTCGACGTCAAATTCAACGTCAAAAAAATTAAATTCAGTCACATACTTTTTCAGATATTGAAAAAATAGAGATTTTTGGGAAATTGCGATATCTCGAAAACTGGTTGACCGATTGATACCAATTATGCAACAAAATTTACGATTTTGAACTTCAGTCCTTTAGTCCTTTAGTCCTTTTTCAGTGAAATTTTCTAAAAATTTTCACACGCATTTTCTAAAATCATCATATTTTCACGTTTCATGACATTCTACATAATTTGCAGACAAAATTAAAAGATCATCAAAATTGACGATTACATAGTTTCCCTTCGGTAGCAACAACAGTAAAATATCTTGTGATTGAAAACAAATTTGACTATTTATTTATCCTCTCATTGACGTTATAAGATTTTGACCTTGAATTCGTTGGGCATTTTCATGATCAATTTCAGACAAAACCATTCAAAATTCTAAAAAAAAATGCATGTCAGGAACTACGGCTTTCTAACATGTCAGAAATTTTCTCTTGAAACTAGCAATTTTTTTCTTTGTGTAAAATAGCAAACTTATTTTTTGTAAAATGTTTCAGATCACCCGATCAATAAATTAAGTAAAGCTGGAAGTCTCCATAAGTCATCCGTGTCATCCTAGTAAAAATGGCGAGACAACAAACGACGGATCGAAATATCCCACATCTGAGGGACATCTTTGGTTTCGCCAGCAAGTGGGAAACCGGCCGGGGGCAATTGGACGAGAAGTTGACGGGCAACGACAGTGCGGTATCAGTAGGCTCGACATCGGGGGAGGAGGAGAGTCCAAAGAACAGCAAAAAGAAGAAATCACGTCGTCGGGACAACAGCAAAACTCTAACCGAGAGCGACGTAAAGCATTTAGAGCGGCACCTGTCGATGAAGAAGACTATCCGGAAGAAAATAATGCGTGATTTGCAACAAGCATTTGTTGAGGATCCAAATGAATTTAGGGTTGATGATATACCACCTGAGCAGCTTAAAGCAGAAATCAATATACAGAGCTTGAGTTTTGGTACCCCGTCACAGAAACAAGGACGAACGAGAGGAAATGCTGAGAGCACTTTCCTTGACATGCTTCGCGCTGGTGGTGGTAAGTTGGAAAATAATTTTTCCATTTGGATTTTTGTCTGGTATTATTATTTGTCAAATCTCTCATTATATTCATTCACTGTGAATCATGATTTTAGGTTTTGAAAAGACTGGTCAGGATGGAGACCGAGATTCTGGTCATGGTGGATCGCCAACTCGAGAGTCAGTGAGCGTTAACGATACTGACGATGAATCGAGCTATCCCTACGATACGCCAACCGCAACACCTGTAAAAAAAAGTGGGAATTTCTGGAGGCGATTCACCATGAAAAACCGCAATAAGCGGTAAACCTTCACTCGTTTATTAAGTCAAAAGAAGGCAAAGAAATATAATAACAGAACAACTGTGGAACCAGCCTCCAAGGCACTGTTACTTAATTCCTCGTTGATATCTTCTTTTTCCTTCAATTTTTTTTCCTTTTTACAAATAAATTTTCGTACTTGTTCTAGAGCAGAGCTTACGACTGTGATATAAGTAAATGAAAACCGATGTTCCCTTCCTGCAGATTTATTTCTAATATCCATAACTGTAGATTACTTGATAGTTTGTTTTTTTGGTTTTTCTGCAAAGACTTATCTATTAAATTGATGAAGTGAGAAATGCAACATTAACTCGATCTGAAAAAATATTAAAATTGGCTGCATTATCCCTTTTTTTAGACGAAAAACAATATTTTCTGGAATATTTTTTCCTAGCAGTTCCTTAATTGTACATATCGCATGAAAATCAACAATGGCTATCTTTTTATTTTTATATGAAAAAGCGAGGAATAAGTCGTAGATTCTTCTACATTCATTCATAAAATTCAGGCAGAGAAATGTTGCGAAACTTTCGCCGAGTAGTGAGAGGGAAAGATTTTCGTATATTGATGCAAGATCGAAAGATGTACTTGTTTTTGAACAATCCATTAATTTTTTCCTGAATATTGGACAATAAAATTGCGTAGATGAGTCCCTTATTATTGTTATGAATGCGTGCTTGTCTTCCGGTTGGAGTTTGTTATAATTGATATAAAAAGATTAAATACATAATTAGTATTAGCTAGTCAATGTACTCTGAGTCGAAGAACAAACACTCCAAAGTTGAGCGGAATTCCAAAATAATGAACAACTATTCAAAAACTTTACTAATTCGAAACATTCAAGGTGACCATATCATTAAAAATATCATCACAGGTCGATGAACCGAAAATATGTATTCAATGAGATTAAAGGAAAGCGATTAGGATAAAAATTCAGCTCATAAATTTTTTAACATAAATTGCCAAATGAAGAGAGTATTTTTTCAATATTTGAAAATTACCCATCGGGTTCAATTGAGGACCAACAAATGAATTTTCTGTGAGAGATTCATCCTAATGTGATTATTGTTAGTGTTCCGCTCAACTTGACAATTATAATAAAGGCTCAATGAGTGAAAGATTCATATCAAATTATAGATACCGCATTGTTTTTTCATTTTTAAAACGTAAAAGGGCCCTTATTCATGCTCTGCTGAGACAATATCGTACTTTACGTGTTCTCTTAATATACCCCTGCAATCATAATCAATCGTAGTTAAAAGTTCTAAGAAAGAAACACATGAGAAACAACAGATTCATTTAAATGATGTATGACAGTTACTCGTACCACTGATCAAGAACTACATTTTTCCTTTGTATTATTGATGTGTATACATGGCTATTCGCATAGTGTAAGGCAGCTTAAATAAATCATGTAAGTTTGAAAAGAAACCGCAACGAATTGAATCTATTTATTTGATCATCTTTATAAAATGTATAAAAATATGTCACATTTTTAAAAATTATTCTCATTTAGACGAGCGTCGCAAATGCGAAATTTTTATTTTTACTTGTTTGTGAATTTGGGAGGACGTTTCTCGATGAAAGCAGCCATACCTTCTTTTTGGTCGACCTGAAATAAAAAAGATGACATTAATACTGAGTGATTATGAGATGAAATAGATCATTATTGTACAAAAAATACCAACAGTTGCAAAAGTAGCTTGGAAGATTCTTTTCTCATAGTGAAGTCCTTCGTTAAGGGTTGTCTCATAGGCCTTGCTAACAGCCTCCTTCGCTAGTGCAACAGCTATCTGAGATTGGGCTGCTATTTTCTCACCGGTTTTGATAGCCTCGGAAACGAGTTTATCAGCTGGAAAGATTTTGCTAACCAACCCTGGAAAGACTCACATCTAGAATAGGCGTTGTAATTTAGCCAGTTACATAGTTATATTCTCCGCACTTACCACTCTTCTCAGCCTCTTCAGCTGTTATTGGATTACCAGTGAGTATCATTTCCATCGCTTTGCTCTTACCAATAGCCCTAGTTAATCTTTGAGTTCCACCAGCTCCAGGGATTGTTCCAAGATTTATTTCAGGCTGACCAAACTTGGCTTTATCTCCTGCATAGATGATGTCACACATCATTGCAACCTCACAACCCCCACCTAACTGAAAATTCATTGAAGGTTTAGGGTCTGTACATATTTGCCGTAAGGGGCAAAAAATGTCGTTGTCTTCGAAAATCACAATTTTCCGACCATTTTATTAGTCTACTTCGGAAAATCGATTTCCTATTTTTATTTCAAGATTTCAAGTGTTCCATTATAATTATGAATAAATAGCAATTATAGTGTTGTGAACAAAATTAACATTTGGTGGACAGTTCAGTAGTAATTTTCAGGCGAGAGACATTTAATTCAATTTGAGAGGAAAAAGTCATAAAATTTCAAATTTCAGATTCGGGTGGATTATCTTTCGTCAGTCATCTCGACTGCTTTTCCATCTTCATAATGTAAAATATATCACAATTTTCATTGGATTTTATATCACGCAGGAGTCCCTCAAAAATTATGATTGTACTGTAAAAAAAAGTAGAAAAATAACTGAACATTTTCAAAGAGCGTTCTTAATAAAGATTAAGAAATGAGTCCGATAGAGAGGAAATAGTGAATGGATAATTTATCATGGCAACTAACCATCTGACAGCCATTGACTACTGTGACAAATGACGATCTAACAGCTATTAGATACATAAAATTATTCATTTGCAATTTACTCCCTGTTGGGTTTATTTCCCAATATTATTAAAAAACGCTCTTTGAAAATGTTCAGCTTTTGTTCAACGTTTTTTTAATTGTACAATCATAATTTTTGGAGACTCCAGGGCTATGTAAAACTGAATAGCAATTGGAGATCATTTCAAATTATCAAAATAAAAAAACAACCAAGATCGCGTTCAAAAGATAATCCACCCGGGCCTTCCCTGAAAATTTAATGCAATTCAATACTTTTGAACAACATGAAGACAAGAACTTTTCAAGTCACTTGAATTCCTATTTAAAAGATTAATATTGTCTACATTGAACAAATAATAATATTTAAATTCATAATTTCTGCTATGATTAAAAAAAACGCTAACTGAATATCCTATAACAGCAAAGAATAAAAATGATGACAATTATGTAATATTATCTTAATCATTAACGTGAATTTCAGATTCTCGAAAAAGGATAGAGCTGAAGTCAAGCTATCATTTTAAATTTTAATTTTTAATTCGGTGTTGAAAACATCAGGTGATGATATTCGAAGCGTGGAATTATATTAATGATATATAACAGATTAATTGAATTACCGAGTGAACTAATTATAGTGAGAAAAAAATGTACTAATTCTTGGGCGTTGTAGACAAGTTGAAAACATTGAGGTGCTTTTTTTTAATTAAAAATTAGTTAAGCAGAATTTGCAATTGAATTGCTCCATGTAAACAAAAAAAAATTTTTAGAAACCCAAGAATTGCTTCGAATTTTCTAGAAAACCCGAAAATTTCCTCCAGATTTCTAGAAAACCTGAGAATTTGTTCGAAATTTCTAGAACATCTGAGAATGTCTCACAAAATTCAAAGTTCTTCCGAATTCTCTGTGAAACCAAAGAATTATCTCAAATTTTCTGTAAAAATCAAATGATTTTTATTAAATTTTGTAAAAATCTCAAAAATATTCTTGAAAACTCGAGAATAGTTATTGCACCGTAGCGCAATAACTTATAACCTAAACTATGAAACAGTAAAAATACCATTGAAATCCATTCAGTCGTTTTTGCATGACTCGCGGTCCATGCAAATGGACAACAGATTTATTATGTACATTTAAGAAACTTTGCAAGTCGGAATTTGAATCTCGATATTGAACCGTTGGAAAATATTTTTTAAATTTGCAAAAAATAAAGTTCACCTCTGGAGAAAGATTAATGAAATGATTAAAAAATTGCAATTTTTGAAAATTACACATTACAAATTAAGACTCTCGAAACTTTCAACTGAAGAATGGCTAACTTCAAATGAAAATCTTATTTTAAAACCTTTAAAATCCCAAAATAAGCTATTATTTTTAAGAATATGGAAAATGTCACTACAACAGCTCGTGATTCTAAAATTTTCGTTGCGTAATTTGCAGGAACTTTTTGGAAATAGTATTATTCCAGCAGAAATTACCCTCAAAATGCGATAAATTATCCAAAAGAAAAGAGGAGAATCGATTTTTTGTCCGCATTTTTTATCCATTCTCAGATGAACAACTACCCGAAAGCGGATTTCGTTGCATATTTATTTTTCACTACATTTTTTACTAAATTTATAGCAATGTTGGCAAGCACTTTTACCAGAGCATCAACAAACATTGAATTCCAGAAATTTACTCTCTGGGTTATGTTCGAGAAGAAATTGGATTGTAATTATGATTGGAATTGTATTCAGCGTGTGTAGCAATTAGCACATGGGCATGTCATTTATTGCAATATGAAAAATTAACCATTAATAAATTGGGACATATGATTTCCATTAGTTGCGTTGCTTTTTACAATTAGAATGATTATGAACAACGAATTGAAAAAAGTAATATTGAATCTGACAGGAAAAAGGGCATAATGAAAGGGCCATCAACACCTAGGGCGCTAGTCTATGAAGGCCGAAAACTCTGCACCTATAAATGAAAAATATTTACCGCATATCCATTAACAGCTGCAATGATTGGCTTTCTGCATTTAGCGACACTGTCCCAATTTTCCAAAAACCCCTGAGTTATGTTATTTGCGAAGGTGTTGTTCATCATCTCTTTTATATCAGCCCCTGAAATTTATTGAATGCTTCAGTCACCGTCCCACCCACGTCTCATTTTCAACATTAAATCAATAATTTTAAAAAATCTCTCAAAAAATATGATGAGATTGTTGATGAAAAACATTGAAAAAACACCTGCAGCAAATGCTTTTTCACTTCCCGTAAGAACTATAGCTCCAACACTCGCATCATTACTGAATTTTTCGATAGCAGTATTCAACTCTGTCATCAACTTATTGCACAGTGCATTGAGAGCTTTCGGCCGGTTAAGGGTAATCACCGCAACATTTTGTTTCTCTCCACTCTTCTCAACTTTGATGAATTCATAATCATTCGACGGGGCTGCAATGAAAAACGGAGAAGAATATTCTTATCAGTTTTTTTCTGTCGCACCAACTGGTATTTGATTGTATTATCTCGGCATATTACTTGAGTAAACATTTCTTTCCCATTGCCTGAAAAAAAGGGTCCTATTTTGTGGAAGAATATTATCGGGGGGGCTCTTCAGTGGAAATTCGATAAATATACATTGGCCAGTATTGGCATGGCCATGTTAAACGGCACTTCAAATTATTTTTACTCTCAATTATCACTAGAGAAATATCTTTCCCGACTTGTTAGAATAATAAAAAAAATGCATTTCTTCCAATGAAACAATTATTTATTTGCAAAACTCAGAGTATTCTTTGCTGTTCAACCAATAATTTTATTTGTATCCTCTATAATTATTCAATATCATTGTGAATGATTACTTGAAGCCATGAAAGCTTATCTATAAGCATGCAAAATAGGGCAAAGTCCGCGTGAGAAAATGGAATCGAACAATTCGATTTTGTCATTCAAATTTTGCATTGACAATTTTGCTGAATATCTACTTACTCGAATAGAATTTGATTGTCGATGCCAAGTGTCCAGTGTGTTGATTAAATTTTGGAACGCGTGTGAAGAGAATTTTTGCCAACTTGCTCGTTGCCATGGTGTGTACTTAACGAAACCGGTTCAGAAAATGAAACATGTGTTATACCCATAGGTATCGTCGGTATCGTTGCCGCTAGGAAAGAATGATCTTGGATCTCAGTGGTGGGGACTGGTGGGGACGTCGAGTCGGAGCGAAATTCGAGAGGGGGGGTACCGAGCCACAATCATTCTTTTGTGGCGCGGACTGTATAAGTTTTTTTCCTTTGGTGGGTACCCCTTCTCTACGTAATTTCCACTTGTATCCGTGCCTCCCACTGGTGAAAACGAAAGAAAAGGTTCTACTGGAAAGCCTACACGAAAACTCTCTCATGATTCATTATTATTATTATTTGATGTTCAATTGCTCCGGCTATTTAGGACAAAGTCCACCTCTGACGACTGCGCTATCTCGATAAAGATCTGCTCGACGGATAGTTCAGATCAGGAGGATGCTGTTCGATTGGCACGACATCTATGAGATTCGACTTCAATTAAAAGTTGATAGGTTTGCAGAATCCACTTGACCAATATGTTGAGAGGTAGGGGCGGGAGGGGCAATATGGACATCTGAGGTAAAATCAAAGAGGATTGACTAAAGTAGAGGCTCAGATCTCGGGGTTAGACTGACCCCAAGCCAAAAGTAGTTCGACCCCAACGGAGGGATGCCGCCACGGTCGAATCTGACGGCTGGGCGAACTGCCTGTGCGGGTAACTCGGCAGTAGCAGTCCCGCTGTCACAGGGATAGTTTTGGAGTGGAATTTGTGTTCTCCTCGTCCTCAGCATGTTCTTAATGTTTTTCAGGTGATTCATTTGCTGGCTAATTAATATGAAACACAGAGGGTGTGATGGAGAATTAAATTTTTCATCAATTAACCCTCTTTCATCCCTTCATCTTTGTAACAAAAAATTAAAAACTGCCATGAAAGTCAGGGGCCAGTAAGAAAAATAATTGTTTTGCGGCGCACAGTGACTCCCGGTAATTAAAAATTCACCTCTCCCTTCCTAATTGAGATTAAGGGATGAAAAAAGGGCAGTTCGACGGAGAATTAAATTTTTCATCAATTAACCCTCTTTCATCCCTTCATCTTTGTAACAAAAAATTAAAAACTGCCATGAAAGTCAGGGGCCAGTAAGAAAAATAATTGTTTTGCGGCGCACAGTGACTCCCGGTAATTAAAAATTCACCTCTCCCTTCCTAATTGAGATTAAAGGATGAAAAAAGGACAGTTCGACGGAGAATTAAATTCCCCATCAATTAACCCTCTTTCATCCTTTGCTACTGCCGAGTTACCCGCACAGGCAGTTCACCCAGCCGTCAGATTCGACCGTGGCGGCATCTCTCCGTTGGGGTCGAACTACTTTTGGCTTGGGGTCAGTCCAACCCCGAGATCTGAGCCTCTACTTTAGTCAATCCTCTTTGGGTAAAATGGACACTCAAAAAATTTGATGTTTAATGTTCAAATTTTAAAAAATTGCTTCTTGGCAAACTCCATAACCGAAAAATTATTCAAGAGTGGAATAAAATGGCCACCCGAAAAAGTTGGTTCTATTCAACTTTTAATCAAGAAAATTTTCAACAGCCATTTTCCATGCATTGATTTGATTACTAATTAATGACAATCATTAATCATTAATAATAACTAATTAATTTTTATTTTTATTGGTCATTATAAAATCATCATTGTTATGATAATTATTATTATATTTTCATTTTTTCATCAATAAAATAAAAAGAAAAATTCAGTATTTTTAGTTTATCAATGTCGATTCTGAGAAATGACGCCCGGAGTAAGCGCGTGGTGGTGGAAGGTGAATACAGTCGCATTCCCCGAATTCACTTCCCCAACAGCTCCTTGAGTGTGACTCTAACGGGAGTCTACTGTAATTGGTGATGAATTTTTGAAAATCAATTATGTGTTCCTCGAAGTTAGTGACATGTTCCTAAATATCAATAACATATGTCCCTCAAAATGAAAACTTTTTTTCTCTGTGATAGGTAAATGTCATTTACCAACTCGTTGTGTAAAATACCATTAGTTATTTCGATGTTGCATTTCATCAGAAAATAAATGATCGTTGGAATGTTGAGTTTACCCATTGAAGAATTTGGAATGCACAACGTGGAGATACGATGAATTGTTTTATAATGTAGAGAATAAGATTTCGTACTTTATTAGCGTGGCAATTCTCATGTGTAAATTTAATTTGTGGAATCTAGCATGCCGGGAATTGCCTAAGTTTCACGATAATATGTGCGCAATACTGAGCCTATTTCCACCGAGGACGTGGAACAGACTTGAGTCGAAGCAAGTAGAAGTAACTCGTCGGTGGAAACACAACAAAGCATTAGCCTTGGTGAAAACCACACCGGAGTTGGCTATTATCTCCCATGTAAAAGGAAATCCATCGAACTCCCTTGAGTTTATGTCTTCGCCAAGTTTGTCCCAAGTTTGTCCACGGTGGAGATGGGCTCACTGTGGTGTGGACTTCATGCAAGTGCGCAATTCAGCTCTGTAATAGTATCTTACGTTACAAGTGCATAAAGTGGGGGGATATTGGCGAGTGATGTGATGTTTTTAGCGAGAGGCGTACGCTGCGCACAGCCGAGCGGTCGCTGATCTCTACAGTGTCCCGCAACCGCTCCTTTTCCTGAAAGGGTATTGAAGAGGGAGCTTTTTGAAGTGGAAAGTTCCTCTTCCGTTTTTGGATCTGAGCTTATTTTTTTTGGTCTGACCTTTTTTTATTTCGGGGTTTTTCTACTGATTTCAGGGACGAAGTTTTTTTTTTTAAATTGATAAAATGTTTTTTTCTTTCTTGAGGGGAGGGGGTGAGGAACAAGGCTGAGCCCAAATCCTGTCTCCAAGATGGGAATGGGATTATACTAACGTATAGAGATCTAACGAGAGATCACTAACGCTGATCTCTATACTAACTAAACACGCTTCGCGTGCACGCTTCGATGCCTAAAAATATCGTTCGTTACTCGTGGGAAAAGTGTTTTTTGGCTCGTGGGAGGTTTATAGCACGAGCTGAAGGCGAGTGATATAATCCCACAAGCCAAAAAACACTTTTCCGCACTCGTAACAAAATATACTATTTCTGGCCATGATCTTCTAGATTTCTGGTCATGATCGCTAGATTTCCAGGGATCCGTAACAGTTGAATCCATAATTCCAACCTTGATAGGCAATGATATCGATTATTCAATAAAAATACCTCTTATGGCTAACATCTTGTTTGATGGGATAGCTTCTTTTGTTATTTTGGTACGAGGAGCTGTCCGACCAGTCACGGTGTGATCTTTTACTTCAGCTCCGCAGATTGATATGGCAATATTTTTGACGAAGGCAGCTTCACTGGGTGATCTGGCGGCATCATCATATTCTTTCTTAGGAAGCCAGATGCCTTGCCCCATGTGCATCATCTCGACCTATTATGATCAATAATCGTATAGGTATTCCAGCTAACCGGAGGTATTTAAATGATAGAAACAAGCAGGGGTTGGAGCCTTTTTGGGAGAGGTCATCTTGAGCATTACTTGATGGTTTTTTTTTGTTTTTTTCGCCATCAATAAACTGATGGCCAGCTTCCGAATGGTTTCAACCATTTACTAAGATTTCCCGAAAAATTTCCAGTACCAAATATTTCAGTGCAGAGAGGAAACTTCATGCAAAATTTCAAGTGAATATATCGATTGATCCGAAAGTGAGGGTGCTACCAATAACCATTTTTAGCAAAAAACAGAAAATTTGTAATATCTCAAAAACTTTGAGTGAACCGGTATATATATTTTGATGGATTGTTATAGGTGACATGGAGACGAGTATTTTGAAAAAAAAAATGGAATCGGTTGAATAGTTTTCGGGATATTCAAGAAACTAGATTCAGATACAAACTTGAATATCTCCCAAACTAATAATTCGATTGAGCCCATTTTCAATACCAAACATTCTAATGCAGAGAGGAAACTTCATGCCAAATTTCAAGTTGATATATCGATTTTTGCGACCGTGAGAGTGCTCACAAGCATTTTTAGCAAAAAACAGAAAAATTGAAATATCTCGAAAACTTTGAATGAATCGGTATACATGTTTTAATTGATTATTATAGGTGACATCGAGACGAGTATTTTGAAAAAAAAATGAAATCGGTTCGATGGTTTTTGAGATATTTGCGAAAAACGATTTAGAAACAAATGGCAATTTCTCGAAAACGGCTGGATCGATTGAGCTGAAATTTGGCACAGAGTTAGTCGTCATTAATACCTATAATCTGACAAAATTTCAGATTTTTCTGAATCACTTTAGCCGGTTAATTCTCCAATTTTCTAAAAGTTGACCACCCGGTGGACATCCGCACAGGCACACGGGGTGGTCAAACTTCGTATTCTGACGTTTCAGACCATTCTGCATCGTTTCCAAGCAAAATTAGAAAATCGAAAAATAGAACGATTACAATGCTTCCATTCGGAAGCAAAAAGGATACAGCCATGGCAGAAGATATCATAATATTTCCCATACCGATTAAAAATGTAGACATCTTCAATCGGTATGGGAAATATAAATTTCGTTACATAAGTTTGACGGGTTGGTACACTGAGAGAAAAAACTACTTTTGACGTGTGAACTTTTGACTTTTGGCAGTGTGAAGAAGCGTAAAGAGTGTTTGTGATACCTGCCTAAAAAGTTCAGTTTTCTAAACAGTTTAGTGAAAATTTGGTGGACAGATTCTGTTAACTGTCGAGGGAGGTATCACAAAAAAGGGTGTGTTGTGCGTGCGTGCGAAAAAGTGGTTCTTTCAGTACTCGTAGCACAATATGTGGATGTCCGCATGAAGAGGGACCACTTTGGCATTATTGGACTTATTCATATGGGCATATTCCAGTACTTTACGGCCTTTTTTGTGAAAGAAATTGCGACTTGGAATTAAACTTACCTTATCAGCATTTTTCATCCAATATCCTGCAGCAGGTACCTTCTCGCCGTCTTCCAAGCATTTCTCCAAATCTCTAACGGGTGAATCTGCATTTTAAAGAGAAAATTCATTGACAAGAACGAGTATTCTCTTGAATTCTATTTGGTTGTACAGGAATCTGCCATTCTCATTTTAATGTATGTATCGAAAATTCTACACCGGAACAGATTGTTAACTTTTGAGAAAAAATACAATTTCATGGATAATCGACTACTAATTTTCAAAAAATGAATTAAAGGGCAAGGGGAAAATCAATAAAGATTTGTGAACTCAGTCCATGTTCTATTAGGTTACCATTTCACTGACTAGTTAGCCTGTTACTAAAACTTTTGTAGGATCAATACTTCCTTCTGTTTGAGTGAGAGAATAGGATTCATTTCATGGGAAAAATATTGAATTCACATCCGGAAAAGGCAACTCACCCCTCGGAAGTTATTACCTCACGGTAATAACTTCCTTACCTTTCAATTCTTGCCAAGCTTCAACCAATGCTCTCAATTGGTTAGCCACATCATCTTGGAAGCTTTTGAAAGACTCTTTCAATTCTTTTATTTTTGTTTGAAGACTGTTTATTTGTTTGCGAAGGGATTTGTTGGTTGTGTGTTCCATCGCATTGATTTGTTCTTGCATGGCAGTCAGCCGCTCATGCAATTCACCTTGGCTTGCATTGTCTGTTTCACGATGTTTTTTTTTGCCACGTCTGGATTTCTACAATTTCAGGAGTTTTTGGACATTACATTTTTTGTTAAGAAGCTCCGCTCCTTTATTGGAGAGCAGAGTAAAATGATGGCAGGATGAAATGGACAGTAACCAAAAAAGCGCAGCGAGGCAGGTCATACTACGAGAATACAAAATTGCTTTTGTCATCACAGGACCGATAAAACTTTTCTGACGAGTGTGAGAGTTGCAGACCGAGGTGAAACCGAGGAATGCAATCACACGACTCAGAAAAGTTGTGTTCGGTCGAGTGACGAACGTAATTTTCCTTCACACTGTCTATAAACGGCGTTTGACGGACACCAAGTGTCCGTAAAACGACGTTTTAAAGACGGGGCGATGAAAAGCACGATTGTTAATTGGAGAAGTACAGGAAAAAAACGCTCAAACAGATACTCGAGACTTATTTTCGAAACTCATTCCTGATAACTGACTCATTATCCGTGCTTATCATCAAATCAATCATATTTCAGAGATATGTGGACGTCCGCATGCAAAGGGTTTCCTTCATCGCTCCTAGTTACCGAAATTTTACGTATGCATCGCCGTAACTGCCATTTTAACTAATATTAAATCATTTTTTTGATTCTCTTAAAACAATGAAAAAAGGTGCGTAGATATTGTCAAAGAAAACAACTAATCGTGGATCGGAATCCACTCCTGAGTCTTTTTCACCTCATGTCAGGGGAAATAATTAGGGAAGGATCGAAGGGCTATTCACAAACGTAATTGTATAATCATTGGTCATAACTGATTGTGAATAACCCCTTGAGGCAAATAGTATAGTTTTCTCTGCTGACTCCGGAGAATTTCCTAAACGTGGGTAATTTGTCCCGAAATTGCGCAGCTTACTCGGGACTCCATCAAATATTACTTCAGTGAACGTGAACAATTACTTGCCGTGAATAACTACTCAAACTGAAGCAAGAAAGATTAAAATCCCTTCAATTCCCTACAGAGATTCATAATATGGCTATCATCACAAGTAAAAGTAATAAAATTTGGCTCCAAGTGAGCAACATTAGTCACTGACAGGAATAAACTATTTTACAACATTGCCCATGTTCCCCCGCTATTCCATTTCAAGCCACCTGTTAGAAACACTGATTTACGGGAATGTATGAGGGTCAAGGAGAAGGGATTATCGGGAGGTAATGCGAATGTTCGGGGGACTGATGAGCGAGGAGTCAGTCGGTTTTCGGGAGTAGCGCTGAGTAAAGGTGTGAGTGAGAGAGTTGAGTGTGTGTGTAAGTGCAGAGAGCGCAATTAGGAATTCTGAGTGATTTGTGCATTAATAATTGAATAAAGTTATATCGTCTATTTTCAGGTGCAATTGTGTCGTTTAATTATTTGCATATCACCCTGCCGGTCATTTGGGGGCCATAGGCTGGGTAGAAATTGCATTTGGGAGGCTCCAATGTTCTCCTAAGAAGGGTCTTTCACACACCTTTTGTTTTGCTCCGCTATCCGAGGAACTACTCACTTCACGATTGAGTGACGAATAGAGTCGATTTCACGTAATTACAGAAATAATTAATTTAGGTGATTTCGAGCGTTACACGAGACTTCATGATTTCAATTACTTTCGAATGATTCCATTGATTGAAAATAAGTAATTTCAGAGAAAATGAAGTAATTTCAACACGAATGAAACGTATTAAATAAGAGAGGTGGGGGACAACGTGTGAATTGAAATGGTAAAAATCAAAGCTCACAAGACTAACTGTGGAATGATAGCGAATTTTGTGGATTCCGCTCGAACTATTGACGATGAAAAGTGATTCTGGCTATCTCTTGGGATTCCTAAAAATATTTTGATTTCATAGATCTCAACAATATTCAGCAATCTAAAAAGATATCTCTGTCGTGAATTGGTAAACTAGGATAAGTGCAGGTTTTTATAAGGTATTTTTGAAAGTCGAATCGCTTCCCAACTATTGTTAGAAAGCCATTTAGCCAAAAATATCCATTTTAGAAAAAAAAATGCACTTATCAAAGTTTGCTAATTCAGGACAGATCTGGAAGGATTCCATATCTCTTTGATATTCATTGGAGATTTTGTGAATGATAACTCCATCAGGATACCAATAAACTCTCAGTTTTCTTAGAAGAGTAAAGAAAGAATTTCCAGTTTTATTTTTCAACTTCTAACTACAGCTATTGAAACAATCCTTTGTCACTCGTCGTAGCTCATTGACGATCAAGGGCGAATGAAGGGAAATTCCTCCTCAGCCTCGAGATGAAAGGGGTTTGAATTATTGTATCGACGCACTGAGAATCTGCCGTAAAGACACCTGGGAAATGACAAATAATATCCGTGATACTCACAAAGATATGCAGAGAAGCTTCGCCATTCTACGTGATAATATAAAACAATTAAAGAGTAATAAGAAGTTTTTCAAGAAAATATATAAAATATGGTTTTTTCATGCATTCATTATGGAAATAATTCCAGGTACACCGATTCAGGATGTTCGCGATGGTATGAAACGATTTGGCATGCCCCCTCAAGTTGGATTTCGCCGTCTGAGCGCAGAAAGTGTAAGTTGATTCGTTGATTAAAAGCATTCCATTGTATTTCCGCTACAATTAATTCAACAATGAGGATACTGTTCAAACCACAGAACTGAAATCGTGTGTTACAATTCAAGTAAAAAAATTATTATTCTCTTCAGTCCGTAAAACGTCGTTTTACGAATACTGTGTGTCCGCCAAACCCTGTTTACGAACATTGCGAATAAAAATTACGTTCGGCACAGGACCGAAACACATTTTCTGACTCCTGCGAATGCATTCCTCGACTTCGCCTCTCCCTGCGCCCCTCACCCTCGTCAGAAAAGTTTTTTAGGCTCTATGACGAAAATAACTATTTCCTCACGTTGTCTGTAAACGGTGGTTCATGGACACGAAGTGTCCGTATAACAAATAGATACATTTCTATGTCGAAAGGTTCATCAACTATAAATCATATCACAAGGAATGATGATACTATGCTGAGAAAAATAATTAATTCCTGCCAATTAAATGCGTTTCAAACGAACAACTGCGCAAAAATTCCACACACAATATCATTATAAATTATTGTGTCAATAAATTTCGAAGGGGAGCAAGTAATTTTATTGCTAGTATAGTAAAGCCACATAGAACGTTGAAATGATTCCTATTGATATGTTTAAAAATACCAAGGGCTGGGGGTAGTTGATGTGTTCTTAGAAAATTCGTATCCTCGGACTGAATAAAAAGTAGTCTTATTTATCTTTGGGTTCATTCACCCCTATAATTGAGGGGCTATTCACATCCGAATTGACGGACGCCATGATGATGATATGCAATCGATTACACGTGATTGCAGCCCTGATTGCACTGATCGGTGATCACCGTGATTACCACTGGAAAACAAAATAATTTCATAGATTGCAGCTAGCGATTACAGAATCTTTTCATTGAAATCGTGAACCATCATTTTTTTTACATTAAACAAAGATCATGCAGTGGTCAAGAAAGATCAAATGCCAAAAATAAGGAATTTTCTGTTGGGGAATGTGGTCTTGCGAGGGTCATACGTTGCAAGGATCACACCTAGCAACGGTCATTCCTCATGAATCGGGAAGGTCATTTATTGCAAGGGTCATACCCCGCCAGAGACGGATGTCATACGGGTCAAACCGCTGAAAGGTCAAAAGTCACAAGGGTCATCTCCATTATTGGAAAGCTCTCTTATCGGACCTCATTGAAATTTCCACAATTTCGTTTATGGCTTTAAAAAACGACGATTCTAAGGAGGAATCATTTCATCCCATTCGTATCTTAACTTTTTCAAACCATCACACTGAGTGTTTCCTTCCGAACAAAATTTTTATAATTTCCATGGTTTCCTGTCTAAATATCAATTCGTCTATACACCACTGGTGATGTTTACAATCGCTTTCTCACAATGAAGATGATTCTTGTGACGTTTGATTCACGTGAAATTCATCCCTTGAGATATGACCCTCGCGTGTTGATGACTTTTGCGAGCTATGATCCTTGCGACGCGCTTATAACCCTCGCGCGCGATGATCCTTGCGTTGTTACACCCTCACGAGGCGTGGCCATTCGAAGGTGTGTAACTAATCAGATGAGAAACTATTTCCAGCAATTATATTTAGTCAGTTGTAATTGATTATATGGAGGAATGTTTGATATGAATGCTTGACCATTATGCCCGAGTCTTTCACTGACTCAACTCTCATGCTGGACACTTACACTTGACCCTCGACTCTTAAGGTATTTTCACCATAGTAATGACCCCGCTAACAATGTGGGCTGATACGAATCACGACTCTAAATAATAAAAAATGCGCATGTGGCTGAAAAGATTGAAAATAATAATTACATTAATTAGGAATGATAACAGGGAAGGTACTATTGTACAATAACATCGCTGATGATTTCACTGTGATTACAATTTGTTGAGGGTCCGATTACACACGCGAGTGACACCATGATTACGATTGTGAATAGCCCCTCGCTTATAATCCTATTGTATGTATTTGACGGCATGTATGTCACAAATATTCAATCATTCATCAACCTGCCACAGAATGCAATCATCCATTTGGGCCAGTGGATATGGTTGCTCAGAAAACAATACATTGATGCCAAGAGATACCCCAAAACAGGATCTCAGTTCGTCAAAAATCTGGCTCTAGCTGTCTTTGGAGACGAGCTGAGATTGAAGAGTGTAACAGGCAAGAAGGGTCCACGTGCACTCGAAAGTAAACCAGCCCTTCCATCGAACGCAGTCAGGGCTATAAGAGGTATTGTATAGCGCTTTCTCCAAGGAATCTTGAATTTCTATCGGAATTCTATAAAAATCCTATCGGAATTCCATTAGAATTCTAGTGGAAAACTTTGCTGTTTTTTTGCGCCATTCCCGCGCATGATTTTTCGAAATTTCAATCTCTTGGGTTTTATTATGAAAAACAAATCAAAGTATAGTGAAAAAACAGCGGAAAATTTACGCTGAAGAATTCCTGTAGAGTAATCAAAATCTATTGACTTGTCTGTTAAATATCTTCTCCAGAAATGGCCACAAAAACAAATAGAATTTTCGAAAGAATTTCTGATAGAACTGATAGAACTGTGTCTGTGCGCTCTCTTCGCGGGGTTGCTCCCTAAAGTCATTCTCGCCTCCTGTGCCGCCTTCGTTGTCACCTCCACCAGTGTCGTCCATCTGGCCTCTAGCCCTTCCCTTAACTCACCTCTGTTCACCCACTCTCCTCTCCACTTTTCCTTAAATTCCTCTTCCCGATCTTCTTTCCATTTCAATCTCATTTTATTATTGCTGCTTCCCTTATCTTTTGCTTCTTCTCTGCTCCATTTCACTCTGCAAACGATCGGTAGGTGGTCTGATCCTTCCTGATCCGTCACCTCCATCTCCCTGAACCTCTCGGCGGCCTCTTCCCCCTCCATTTCAACTATTATATAGTCTAGTACACTCCCCAATCCTGCTCCTTCCCCTATAAATGTAATTTTCCCTTCCTGATCTCCCTTAGCTCTCCCGTTCTGGATTAGCAGTGCTCTTTCCTCACACCACTCTATCAACCTTTTCCCCTCGTTTCTAACAGTTTTATCCTGTGAGTTTCTCTCCATTATCCGCGACTCTTGTTCTGTTCCGCACTCTGGAACCCCCTGCAGTTCTCCAATCCTTGCGTTCAAATCGCCAGTAATGATCATCCTTTTCCTCCGAGCCCTCCATCTCCACTAGTTCGTCCATTTTCCTCAAGGCCCCCTTCAAGTTCTTCCTGTCGTTGATATAAGTGCTCACCACTTTGTATCCTATGCGGTCTTCTTCTCTTTGATTTTCAGCGTAAGGCCATATTCCCATTCTTCCACTCTCCAGTCTGCTTCTAACGACCTCCCGACTCCTATTAAATGTCCTCCACTTGCCTTTCCTCTTTTACTCACTCTCTTTGCTTCTTTCCCGAACCATTGGAATTGCTTATTTACCTTCTCCATCATCTTTCCCAGAGGTTTTTTCTCCAGATGAGTTTCTTGGAACATCACAATATCCATTTTTTTCTATTTCTCTCCATTCTTTCCAATGTTTGCTACATTTTCTATATTCCAGTGCATTATCCGTAGTACCTTGCCCTCCTCCCTCTCCACATTACCTGCCTCCTGTCTAAAAGGGCCCTCCGCTTTCACTCCTCTCCGTACTGTCCTTCAGCTTCGTTTCTCCCTTCCTTTCATCCCATTCCAACCAAGTCCCGTCCACACTGAAACAGTTGTAGCCTGTGTTGACCTGCCTGCCTTTCTTCCTCCAGTTTCTTGCCTCTTTCCCTATCCACTTCTGTATCTCTTTCTGTCTGTCTGTGAAGTCGTCCTGCAGGAACACTCCCCATCCTCGCTCTCTCAGTTTTGCCCTCTCCTTCATTTCCTTTTTGTTCTCCAGCTCCTCAGTCCTGGCCAGCCAGCCTCCGTTGCCCCTTCTATCCAACTAGTCTATCCTTACCTTCACGTCCAGCTCATTCAGAATCCATTCCTCTAATTCCTCCTTCCTCTTCCTCGATAATAGAGTTAATTCTTAAATTATGAAGTTCTTCCTCCTTGCTCGTCTCACCTCTTGCTCAGCCTGCCATTCCGCCTCCTCCAGTCCCCGTGGTGGTGGATTATAGAATTTTGTTGCCTCCTCCCCTTTTCTGATCTCCGCGTCCCAGTCCTCCTCTATCGAGATATTGCGATCTCCTCCATTTTGGCTGTCAACCGGTCCCTTCTCTCCATACTCATCCTCGTCTCCCTCCTCCCAGAATTCAACATCGTCCGATGTCTTATTGTCCTCCTTTCCTTTTCCCGTGCCTTCCTCTTCTGGGTCCTTTGCTCTTGTTCTCCATTTTGTCGCTATTTCCTTCCATTCCTTTACTCTTTTGGCCAGCACTTCCGGTTCCTCCTTCGCCTCTCTCAATCTTTCTTGTACTTCTCTGAGTTGGTCGTCTTCCCAGTGCTTTGTCCTCTCTCCTTCCTCCCTTCTTCTTTCACATTCCCCGCACTTGCCATTTCCCATCGCTTTCCTTACCTCTGTCCTGATCAGGAACTCCATATCCTCCATTCTGGTTTCCCATTCCTCTTTCTGCCTCCTATCCCAATTCGCCATCCATTTCTTGAGTCTTTCCCAATTGGTAAAGCCTAACTCATCCTCCTCCTCCAGCGTCGATTCCCCTTTGCTGTCATTGTTATCTCCAGCCTCCCCCCTTCTGTTCTACTCTCCCTGTGTTGAGCTCCTCCCTGGCTCTAGCCGCTGTTGTCCTCCCTCTGCTTTATTCCCTGATGTTCTCTGCACACAACTTGGTGACCTGTCCCTATTCTCCTCTTCCTCTACCACCTCATTCTTGTCGTCATTTCCGCTTGCCTCTGCCCCTGCCCTATCCTCCGCTCACTCTTCCTCACTGCCTCCTCCGCGTCGTGGGTGTTTCTCTTATCCCTACTTCCTCGCTGTTTTTGTCTTTCGCCTTTCCGTCGGGTGTCCTCTGAAGGTCTTTTGTAGCCTCTTTCTCCATGTTCACGTTGCTGCCCTCACTTCCCTCCTTTCGTTCCTCTCCCTTCCTCATACTCTTGCCATCTCCTCCATCTCTTCTCTCAAGTCTGTGTCCTTCTGTCCTTTCCCACTGTTACCCATCTCTTCCGCCTCTTCTCTCGGGACTGCCTCCTTCTGTCCTTTCCTACTGACAGTTTCCCTCTCCCAGAAGTCCTCCAGTTTCTTCACTGCTGACCTCGTTCTGTTTTTCGCTCCTGAGCCTCCCTCTACCTCTTCTTTATCGACCGATGCCTTCTTCCTGCCTCTTCTCTTCACTGTAGATGTCTCCATCGCCTTTTCTCGTTTCCCTTTCCGTCCGTTCCTCCTTTCTTGGCGTCGTCAGATCCGTAGCCCCTCATGTATAAATATTCCAAATTTTCATTTTTTTCCTCATTGAAGTAGTTTTGAAGACAATTGCGAGCTAATAAAAAACAATTGCTAGTTAGTACTTTTTTTAAAATAAATGTTTGAAAAATCACCCCTGAAAAAAAGGCGTTATCCCCCCATATTTCATTATTTCCAAAAAGTTTTATCGTCAATCGGTAGCAAATTGTTTGAAGATTTTTGCGAGTTAAGAAAAAATCGTCAATGCACTCCTATTATTGTGTAAATTAACAATTCCAATTTCAACCGAAAACCAGAGTTGATGACCAGAGTTTGTAGCAGAGATGTCAGACAAGATATGAATGTTTTTTTTTGGCTCAAATGAAAGAGCGGGTCGAGAAATGGCGTGCAGGGGCCTCTAAAGATGGTTTTGAACCAGGGGAGACTCCTAGACCCCACTGGACAATGTTGTCACAATTGCGCTTTTCAATTGAAAACAGACATCATCTTTAGAGACATTTGTCATCTTTAAAGACTTCTGCACGCCATTTTTTGAGCCGCTCTTTCATTTGAGCCAAAAAAAACATTCATATCTTGTCTGACATCTCTGTTACAAACTCTGGTCATCAACTCTGGTTTTCAGTTGAAATTGGAATTGTTACTTTACACAATAATAGGATTGCATTGACGATTTTTTCTTAACTCGCAAAAATCTTCAAACAATTTGCTATCGATTGGTGATAAAATTTTTTGGAAATAATGAAACAGAGGGGATAACGCTTTTTTTTCAGAGGTGATTTTTCAAAAATTTATTTTAAAAAAAGTACTAACTAGCAAATGTTTTTTATTAGCTCGCAATTTTTTTCAAAACTACTTCAATGAGGAAAAAAATAAAAATTTGGAATATCTATACATGAGGGGCTAATTGATCGGATCTGCGTCGTCCTCCCTCCTCGGTGGTTATGGTTCCCCCGTCCCTTTCCGCCCCTCACCGCTGCACTTAACGCACTTTCCTTAACCTCCACCGTACGACGCTACTTTTTTTCCTCCCTTATCTTTCCTACAGGCGCGTTATCAGCCAGTACTCCAACACCCGCTCACTCTTTCCACTTTTCTCCTCCTTTTTATTACACTTTCAGCTGCTTTTTTAGGCTTTTTCGATCTAATTAGCCGTTAAAACGACAGAGCGTCCCAAACTGCGTCCGACCCGTGTCAGTCCCTCTCGCGGTCCCTCGAGGGGTTAATATCTAAATGGGTTTTTTCCTATGTTTCGTCCGCTTGTAGTGATCACTGAATAGTCAATGTGTTTTTTTCAGTTTTATGAATTTTACCTGATCAATGACCAAAAATGGACTGATCCCAAGAAAATCTGTAAGGAAATGGAGCGAGCGAAAACCTATATAAAGGAAAAAATCAAAGATATGAACGCTCCATCCAGATCCAAGAAGAGAGTCTTAATACTTGAGTAAACCCCGACGACATATTGAGTTATATCAAGATAACTTATAATTTCAGAGTTGATTATTATTATAAGTTTATGTTAATAAAAAGAATCTCACCTACCTTCTGATCTATTATTTATCAAATAATATTCGAATGAACTAATACACAGAAACTTTTTTTCAGCACAAACACACATTGAAGTGCATTACTAGATAGCAGGTGCCCTCAGTTGACATCAATACGTATGCTTGATGAATATGGATGCATTAACGTCATAATAGCTTTTCCTTCTCAGTCTAAATTTATTGCATACCACTAGGATCATGTCCACCCAATTGAATAATAATGAAGTAATCGGATTCATTCTGGAATCTCCATTAGAGAAGGGTAGAACGTCGGCTGATACAAGATAATAACAGCGACTATTCAGTATTATATTACACAGACTTACACGTAAAGTTTCGGACAAGTTTATGAAAAATATAATGTGATACTATGCGTACATGAATAACTGGAGCTATGGGAAGTGACGGACGTGTGGTCAATCATATTATCTGATTCGAACGGACGACAACCCTCAACCCATGAGCATCGATGAAGAACACCGAAGACAATGGGCACCCTTTTCAATCCACGTATGAAAAAT